GCAGAGAGGGAGGACAAAGGACAAACTGTGTCTGTGTCGTTCCAGTTTGCGTTTTTATTTTTCCTGCAGTTTTGGAACTTGTTGGTTCTTTTGTGCTTGGTTTGCATTCCATGTTTTGTTTTTTTGTTGATTTTTTTCTCCACAGGCTTAGTCTTTTCCTTTCTCCCTTCTCTAATTCTTGTTCTTAAATTTCCAGTGTCTTTCCTGCTTGGCCGTTATCTCTATTCTTTTCACTCGTGCTCTTTGTCCACATCGGCCCAATTTAAAATAATTGGAATGGTCCCAAACATAAAGCTACTGTTGGTGCCTAAATTGGTGCCTAAATGAATCAAAATTAAATTAAATGAATTTGATCTACAGAACAGACATTTAAATGCTAGTGTTTCAAGCAATTTTAGCTCTGAACCATGTCACGTGTAGGTCTGTCGGTGGTCCTGGGTACAGTTTTGGTCTCATTCGTGGTCAGTGGTGGCTGACCAGTGGACTGACCAACACATCTGCGTGGGGCGTCTCTTTTTACATCCCGTCTCTATCCTTCCAGGAGTGCATCATCCCGGAAGCATGCGCTACAAATACAACTTCATCGCAGACGTGGTGGATAAAATTGCCCCGGCTGTGGTTCACCTGGAGCTTTTCCAAAAGTAAGACTGACCAAAGCAACGAGATTTGATGCGTCTGCCATAAAACTATCAGTCACAGTTCTTAAATTAACCTCCTGACACCCGGCGTCCTCATATGAGGACATTCCATTTTTACCTCACTTTACCATGATGCTTCTTTTTCCTTTCAAATTTGTCCTCATGGCCGCATAGTAGACGCTATCGGACACTTTTGTTCGAAATGTAAAGTAAAATAATTTTATACATTTTTAACCAATCATGTTCTTATTGTGTTATTAAAATTTAGTAAATAAGTAATTTGGACTGTCTAAACCAAATTGTAAAAACATTTAATTAAATATATAAACAAACATTTTATATATGAAGATAAACCCACTGAGCCTATACGAAGAAAAACTACCTGTACCATGACAAAGTCTAGTTTTTAAACTGATAGAGTCCTACTAATGTCATACATTTTGAAGAATGCAAGTTATGCACTCCGAATAAAAGTCAGGCCTCAGGAGGTTAAGAATTGAAATTGAATTACATAAAGAAATAAAAAGGAAATGGCCGTCACCCTTCGCTTTTTCTCTTTGTGGATGACAGAGTTCCCTTCTCCGGTGAGGAGGAGGTCTTTGTGTCCAGCGGCTCTGGGTTTATTGTGTCCGAAGACGGCTGGATCGTCACCAACGCCCACGTGCTCAACAACAAGCAGCGGGTGAAAGTGGAGCTGAAGAGCGGCGTGCATTACCACGCCGTGATCAAACACATGGACCAGAAGCTGGACATGGCCCTCATCAAGATCGAACCGGCTGTGAGTGTCCTGCTGTTTGTCCACTCGGTCATCTCGTTTCCCTGACCGTCGGTTCAGCCCTGAACTGTCTCCATACCAGTGATGCATTTGAGTTTTTCCCAAAGGGGAAAAAAAAACAAAGCATGATTTTGCTCTGTGCTACCCTAAAAAGGGGCTGTATACTGATCATTGTTGTTGTTTATTGTTAAAAAAGATCCCCATTAGCTGTCAGCAAGACTGGGACCAGCTAATCTTCCTGGGGTCCACAAGACAAAACCAAAATCACCTAATTAAACATTGTAGACATTATTATAGATCAAATCATACAAATAAGTTATTACATCCATATCTATTAATTGTCACTTCAATACAGTTAGTTCAGCACTCACAAATTCAAATAATGCATTTTCAAGTAATAATTAAAAGATACTTTACTATTCAGTCCACGTATATTCAGTGGGTAATTATTCCAATAACTGATTAATAACTGTTCCCTTTAAGGCATTTGGTTTTGGACATGGTGACATCATCTGACTACCATTGGCTGATCTTGTCACAAAAGAATGAACCTGATCACTTCTGACTATTTGGTTATATAAGAAACATGAACCAAACCATTTCAGTTTAAAAAACTAGTTTAATAGATGTTTGGCTTAATTCATGCTGAACTATTAAACTAGTCGTAATTGCACTAACAACATCAAGCCCCTTTGAGACTCTGAAAGATCCTTTTTCCACTAGCATCCTCAAAATGAAAAGCTTCCAGAGCAACCATGCAGGAGGAAACACAGTGATCAGACTGTTCACTTTATCATGTAGAACCAAAGTGTCCTCAATCAAGACAGGAAGTGGCTATGAGTCCATCAGTGTGTGATGGTGTGGTTAGAAAAAGACACTTTGCACAAGAAGTTTCTCGACTGTGAGATCAATAAAGCTCTTATCTTATCTTATCTTATCTTATGAATGTATCTGTAAACAGGTGAACATTGCATGTGGTGTAAAAACTCTCTAAATGTCCACTGAGCTACGAAATCACCGAGCAAATAAAGTCCAAGCTGCAAATAGCAGCAGAAAACTTTACGCAGAACGACAGGCGGTGTGCCGTTTGTTGACAGGCCTGAGCCTTTTGCATATTCAGGATGAACTGTGGGCGGAATCGCAGTGATTAAAAACAAGTCTGTGCAGATGCAAAGATCAGGGGACGCACAACAGCAGCGGGGAGTTTAGAAAACTCAAAACGACGAACCGGCTTTATTTTTTGGTTCGTTTCTGACCTCTGACCTCTAAATGAAGGAAAATAGAAGCATGTTAAGGAGAATATTGTTCATATTTTCACACACAAACAAAATTGATGAACAAGAAGTGAAAAAATGAAATTTACAAACGAACAATGGTACAGGAAGGAGAAAGTGTAGGATTTTCTTATTCCAGTTTCAGTTCAAATAACAGAATTCTGTTCAGGTTCGGTTCAAGATAAAACCAGTGAATGTCAGTTCAGAACTAAAAGAAACTGAGGGCCTCCAACAAATTCCAAAAAGGATGAACATATATCTACAAACACATCATGTTTTCCTTTAAGTGAACAAGTGATTTTTTCCATTTGGCAAAACTTGTACAGTGTTCTCGAACCAACATTTCACACTCGGACTCAATATGGATTTCCACATATTGTTCGTATTTAGGCTTTCTTAGGCAAATAAAATCTGATTTTTTAAACAAAAACGGCATGTATGCGTCTCATATGTGAAGGATTATCGAATTAATGAATGTAATTATCATTACTTATTATCATTACAAAGGGAGCTCCAAGCTCTGAGTAATGCCGTGTCCCCCCCCCCCCCTCAGGGCCCCCTGCCTGTGCTGTCTCTGGGTCGGTCCCTGGACATGCGTCCGGGGGAGTTTGTGGTGGCGGTGGGCAGCCCCTTCTCCCTGCAGAACACGGTGACCACGGGCATCATCAGCACCGTCCACCGCAACGGCCTGGAGCTGGGCTTCAAGGACTCCGACATGGACTACATCCAGACCGACGCCATGATAAACGTAAGAGCAGCTACTCCCCTAGAAGTTCCAGAGCTTTTGCATCTTTTATTGTTTACTTTATCAGTTTGAACAAAAGGTCTTTCCTTTTTTTTAAATTCACAGTACGGCAACTCGGGTGGGCCACTTGTCAACCTAGTAAGTGATTCTATCCTCTATAAAGGCAGAATTTCATGTTAAATTGCATTTTTTTTCTCTATTTAATATTTCTTTATATGTTTTTCATTTGTTTTTTTATTAATTCCGCAATTCCAGTCTGCTTTGTTGTGTCAAGTATTAAGCGATTAAGCGTGATTTTGATGTGGAATAGCTTCCCTTTTTTAAAATCAGCAGAATGGTCACAGGTTTTCTGCTCTTCTGTGTTAACAGGACGGAGATGTAATAGGCATAAATACTCTAAAAGTGGCCGCCGGCATCTCGTTTGCCATCCCCGTGGACAGAATACGCCAGTTTCTTGCCGACTTCTACAACAGACAGCTCAATGGTAGGCAGAACATCACGTCGGTCGTGTTCTCCGGGAATGTTTTCCTGATCTCATCCGTTCACTTCCACGTTTTTCTGCCTCCAGGAAATGTAGAACAGAAGAAGAAATTCTTAGGCATTCGTATGCTGCAGCTCACACCTTCGTAAGTGAAGCAATAAATCACTCTTTCAGCCTATAAACAAAACTCAAGGCAGTTAGACAAGACTGTAATCAAATCCTATTATTTAAAATAATTTTTTATGACAAAACTTGAATGTAACTTGATTGTTTTTTGTAAAAAAAAGCGCAAACTTCTCTCTGTAATCCATGTTCTTCTCTGTGTGTCCAGTTTGATCCAAGATATCAAAGAACGCGTCCCTGAATTTCCAGACGTTAAATCGGGAGTATACATCTATCAGGTCATACCCGGAACTGCTGCATTCAGGTACAGTCCATCGCTCCTGAAAATCCTTTCAGGATGCTTTTCAGAATGTTGAGTAGAAGTCACCACTTTGTAGATTAAACAATAATCGTTTAAAACGTTGTATGAAAATATAAGCTAGCGAAGCTCAGTTTGTACACCTGAGTTCACAGTTCAGAGAACGGACAGCTTTCCGGTTGGCTTTCGTCCAACAGTGTTTAGCAGTTTAGGACCACCTCTGTACTGAAGCCTGAGGAGCCTAAAACCTGCAGACTCCCTGTGGAATCAGTCAGATTTGGACCGGACAAAAGATGGACACAGCCTCTCATTTGGAAGGAAGAGAAAAACAATAATGCCATAAACCCACGCCATTAGTAGGGATGACTCCTTTGGTAAAAAAAACAAAAAAAACACCCATTTTTATTGGAGTTAAAGAATGAAAAACTCTACTTTTTTTGTCCATTTTGAAAATCTACTGCTGTCCTGACAGCTAGTCTGTAATGTTAGAATGGGGGAATGAAGGTGACTCCACATATCCACTTCAAGAGTTATTGGATTTATGTTGAAAAATGCGTGAAGGTTTGGACAGTTGTCAGACTTTAGGTTGGTGTCAGTGAGTTTTTTTTGGAGTCACTGAAGAATGCCACTTGTTTCCTTCAAAGGGCTGGAATGACCGATCATGACATCATCATCAGCATCAACGGTCAGCCCGTCCACTCCACGCAGGACGTGAGCGCCGCCGTCCAGAACGGCTCCGGACTCTCCGTGGTGGTGAGGAGAAAAGACGGCGATTATATGCTGACCATAACTCCCGAAGAGACGGAGTGAGGCTACCCATTGATAAAAAGCTGGTGCTCGCTCTAAACGATGGTCAGATTTACCCCGGATTCTAAAAATGACCTCTCAACTTTGATTCTTGTGACTCGCTAGCAAAAGTCAATTCTCTGCATTGTGTTTCAGGATTATACCACCATATGTTTTACTCTCTTTTTCTAACATTCGTTTGGTGGGGGAGGAGGGTTACTTTCCATTTAATTGTGTTGTTTCTATGTTACAATGACCCAACTCGTGCTTGTGTGTGCGCCTTTCACATTTGGGAACGTTGTACATCGGATTAAGACTTGGATTTTACATTCGTGCCATTAAATAATTGGAAAAATTTTGAAATAGCCCACCTTTAAATAAAAGAAGCTGGAATAGAACAGAAGGGTACCAGATTTTGTATTTTAAAACAGACTAGCTCAATTTGGCCAAAAACTTTGCGTTACAAATAACTTCATTTCCAAAAGGTTTCAGGAACTCTCACTCTCATCTTTAATTCCTTATATGGATTGGACTAAATGGGATATTTTTACTTTAATCTTCATTCTTCTTCATTTTGTACAGCCTACGCTATATAAACAGGCATCTAACAGATATCTAACAGATGAAGGCAGCTGTTTGATGCCGTCCGGCCGAAATACGGAAGGCATTTCCTAAAATAAGGCATCGTGTGTTGCTCTGAAATGCTCGGATGTTATATTTTGAAGTCCTTTTCTTTATCAGTCCTGGGAACATGGCCTCGATTTAAAAATTTTTGCCACACAGCTTTGATCCGGGACAAGTTTTAACCTGCATGTGTGTGCACAGGCTGGGATATCTGAGTGTGTTCCTGAGCCTTTGCATTGGTCATTGTGACAGAATTAGGTCAGTTTTTATATGAACTGCTGTATAATATCTGCCCAAATGAGCATCTTTTGTATTTCAGTCACTGATCCCTGACATGATTCGGAAATCTTACTTCTGTTTGTTTTTGTTGTGTTTTATATTTTCTACTGTAAATATGATGTTGCTATGTGAGCTTTACTAAGAATTACATGTTTTTATTGATATTTTACGTAGCATGACAATTGTTGGAATTTGGGTTGTAAAAAATACCTTTATACATACACTGATCTTACGTTTTGTTGCAAATATATAACATATCCTAACAAATGCACTGAAAATAGCAGCGATAACAAAGCATTTTAGTACACAACAACTTGACACAACAGACTGGGACTTAAAATATGCTCTCTGGCACAGAACAAGATTTAGTCTTGGCAAACCTTCCAATAAAAGATAAAAGAAAAGAAAAATTGAAAGCAGACATTATACTGGGAGACAACTTTACTCTACATAATGTTGGGCATTAATGAAAAACAGAATGGATTAATAATCTTTAAGAATATAAATAAACTTTATGGTGTGTACATGGTATGTTTAATTGTTCTTTGTTATGCACATCACATGCTAATCTGCAACCCCACTGTTAGAGCCATAAAAATATTGTGTTTTATTATCTTCTGGTTAGAATCATTTAATTGTGAAGAATGTATACTGTTTAGTTTATTGATTGGCATTTGGTTTTATTTTGTATTGTTTTTCTACATTTGATATTTAGATAGATCACTTTTATGAGGCTCCTTTGATGTCCTGTTTAAGTAGCGAAAGGTGCGCTGTTTTGTTACAGTGCGCATGCGCAGAGTACGGTAGGAAAGGTAATGGTGTAGGACGAGGAGCAACAGTTTTTTTTACCGTAAGGTTCACGTTTTGGTTTTTTTACTTACCGCAAGGTTGACGTTTTGTTTTATTCTTATCGGGAAGTTAATTTTGTATTTATGTTGGCAAGTTTTTGTAAGTTCACGTTTGCAATAAACAAGTCTTTTTTTTTTTTTACATCGGATCGCGTAAGTTTTTAAACCAACGTGCACGAGTCAAATCCTTCACGTCCTGCAAGAGTGGCAAGCAAAAGGTATTTAGCCACTACATAAGTAAAAAAAACTGCTCCTGAACGAGAGGATTTTTCGACAAAACGCGGCGAAAGGGATTAAGTGGACACACGCGGTGTGAGAACTGGAGCCATGCGCAGGTAAAAAGCTCACCTCGCCGGATCGAAAAGACGTGTGTCGGACCAGGAACTCGTCTTCACATGAAGTAAGAACGTGCAAACGTTACAATATCGAAAAGTAAAAGATACTTTGGATTTTTGACGGCGACTTCCGTCTGTAAAGTGTTAATTTGCGTTAAGAGTTTGTGGTAGCATTAGCATGGAGCTAACAAAAGAAGCTAAAAGGGTGTCAAGGCCTACTTTTAAAGCGCTGGAGGACAAGCTTAACCAGTGTTAGCCGTTCCTGCTCCGCTCCCAGACCGGGACGAAGTTAGCTTGAACTTCGGGGCTAAACCCCTTTCACTTCCTTCGCAGCAGTAGCGAACAACTGAGACGGAGGCTCTACTTGTACTCGAGGAGTGATAGCCTTTATTTGCCTACAATTGTACATTCACTGTTTACCTCTGGTACAACTCTCTTGTTGAACTAGCCATCTACCATCGCACTTCTACGGTCTCCTTTCGCTCTCTCTCTCTCTAGCTCTACCACACCCACACACCCGTTACGTCTGCACATGCGCACTGATCCCTTAAAGGAGCCACTCTTATAACACTAGCATCAGTGCTTCTCAAATAGTGGGGCGCACTCCCAAGTGCGAAACCTGGGGGGGCGCGTGACCCTGGGGAACAGCCTTTTTTTGGGGCTGTACTAGTATAAAGTGTAATAGCGCATCCACTCCAGTAGGGGCAGTGGCGCTCTCATCGTTACTTCAGTGCAACATTTTACGACTTACAAGACAACAGGTTAGCCTCGGTTAGCAGCTCCGACTGCCTTCTGTCTGTAGCCTCCGTTATTCAACATAAGGACCCCCAACATGAAAAGTTTTTAACAGGGATGAAAAGAAAAGCAGAGAGAGACAAAGATAATGACACAAAAGAAAGTCACCCGAAAGCTAAGACGAGGAAATATATATATATTAAATATATTGTGCTCCTGAGTTAATGTTGCTGAACTGAATATAAATTAGTTATTATTTTTGTAGTTTATTAGTTATTATAATTATTTTAATTATTTATTGATTTGATTTAATTTTGCAATGGTGCAATTAGTTGGTCAACATGTTTACAGTTTAAACAAGGATTTCTTTATTTTCCATTTCAGGCATTGATGCACCTAAAATCTTTTCTGTTGCAGACTTAAAACAAGAATTAATAAAGTTATTCTTTGTAAGTTTGACCATATGTCTTTCTTTTTTTCCTTTCTTTAATGTTAATAAGGATCAAATGTTATGCAGAGATGGATAATCGCGGTGGGGAGTGGGGGGGCGCAAATAATTTTCTTATTGCAAGGGGGGGCGTAACAGAAAATACTTGAGAAGCACTACTAGCTTAAAGGAACAAGGAAAGCTAAGTTAAGCTTTCTTACCAAAAAGATAAAGGAAATTGAAGCTTTGATGGAAGATGATAGTAATGCTGATGAGGTCGCTGCTAAAGTAAAGTCTGACTTTGCACATGCATACATGGAGTTCTGTGGGGTAAACGAAAGCATTAAAGAACACCTTAGTGATCATGAACTGCATGATGACCAGGTGCAATGGTTTGAGCCAAAGGCGATCTACCTGAAAACCTTTGTTGTGAAAGTTGACAACTGGTTGGATGAAAGTAAACGGAGATCAGAAGAGGCTAAAGCAGCCGATGCTGAAATTCAGCCAACAGACACTGCTTCAATGGTGTCATCTAAGCGAGACAGAAAGCATGGTGATGAATCTTCTGTAACATCAAGTGTGTCTTCAACTGCATCCTCTGCTAGACTTAAGGTAGAAGCTCAAAAGGCAGCTCTTTTAGCACGTGCTGATGCATTGAAAGTTAAACAACAACTTGAAAAGAAGAGGCAGCGCTTAGGGCAAGAAAAGAGGAGCTGGAATTGAAAACCGCTATTGCCATGGCGGATACAAAGCTTGAGGTGTTGACTGTAAGGGAGCAAGCTAACAGTGTTCGTGCAGAACCTGTGGATGGAATGGCTGCTCACATAAATACTGCTGCAAGCCAAGGTGGTGAGGGCAGCTTCAGATCTGGGCATTCAAATACCACTGGCTTCTATGACCGCTCAAGGCCAGACGTCATGCAAGATGTTGTTGCTCAAAGGAGTTCAAACGTGAGCAGACCCTCTCAGCCATGTTCAGATTTGCACGGACAACCGAGTACAGGACAAAACAGGGTTGCTAATTTTGGAGACTTGCTGAGTGTTATGCAGCGTCAGAACGAAATCCCAGAGCTTCTAGTAAAGCAACAGAAGGTGTCTACTCTCCCACGGTTGGATGTGCCCATCTATGATGGAGATCCTTTAGAGTTTGGGTTCTTTATGAAAGCATTCGAGCATGGGATTGAAGAAAGGACTGATAACAACAAAGACAGGTTACATTTACTTGAGCAATACACTCGTGGCAGACCGAAAGTTCTTGTCCGAAGTTGTACCCATATGCATCCAAACAAAGGTTATGTGGAAGCCAAGAAGCTTTTAAAGAAACATTTTGGAAATGAATACACCATTGCTTCTGCTTACATTGAAAGAGCACTGAATTGGCCTGTTATTATGTCAGAAGATGGAGAAGCTCTCACTGAGTTTGCTGTGTTTCTCACTAGTTGCTGTAATACAGTAGACAGCATGGAGTACATTGAGGAAATGGATAGTCCCTCTAACATGAGGGCAGTCACCACCAAACTTCCCTTCAAATTAAGAGACAAGTCGAGGGGGGTTGCCTTTGACATCCAGAAAAGGACTGGAATGAGGGCTAGGTTTGCTGATTTGGTCAGTTTTGTGGACAAACAGGCACAAATTGCTTCAGATCCGTTGTTTGGCAACTTACAAGAGCCAGCCTCATCCAGATGTGGTAGCAACCCTGACACAAGAAAGGAAAGCTCTGCAAGAGTAAAGAAAAACAGCTTTGCTATGGATGTAACACCTGTGTCAAGAAATACAG